TAAGTAAGTGTTTCAATGTCGATTGGTGCAGTATCATCGTATAAAAATCTGTCAAAGTTAGTCCTAAACAATAACGTCCAACTTTTAAATCCTACAAGTATACGTGCTAAGCTGAACGGTACCACTCATGTCTTTGGTATTGCCTCCGACCTCTGTAAGAAATTCGGTTTCCACAAGGATGCAGATACAACTTACTGATGATTGCCAGCAGCCATGAAACCTGACTATGTAACTTCCCGTCACAGACTTCAACATTTAACATTAAACGAAGCATATTACGCTATAATATTAGTTAGCCTAGTGGCCAGGCTGTACAGGTGATTGATAATTTCTGACTAAAAATGAAACAACAATTATAATACGGCGTAAAGTTTTCGTTCGAATATCACTAAGCAATGAAAACTTTCTGTTTGTATTGATAAGGAGCCTGAAAGAAGGGACTCTGAATGGTATTAAATTCCCGTGGTTCAACTTTACAATAGAGTTTAGACGTATCAAACTGGCAAAGTTATTAAAATAAGACTGCCCAATAGTTAGCCAGTTACTCAGGTGTCCACTAAGTCTAAAAAATATTGCCAGCAGAATGTTACTGTGATGCAAGGTGGATGCGGAATGGTTTTCCAGACTGATCACAAAATGCTGGAAAATAATCTTTGTCAGCAATGATTCATTATTGAAGTTAAGTATTCTTGTAAGCTATCAAAACAGATACTCATACGAAATTCGATTATTCAATGTAGCCAACACTAAAATAACCATTGAATATTGGGCTCAAACAGATATAATGTTAGGCTTGATTGATAAACATAGATGAGAAAGTGGGAGACAGCCAGTTTGCAAACAAATGTATTTCATCATCTTTAATTTATTTGCCTTTTGTTTACCGAAAATATTCAGCTAAACACTTTTTAGTGAATAGATAATCACAGTTAACAAAGTAAAATAGATTCTTCACGGTATTTTACTGTTGAAAACGACTGAAAAACACTTGTTATACTTATAACGATGAACTTATCGATCACTTGTGCTGCTTTCATTAATACTAAAGTAAACAAAGTTCAGGGAAATCCTAGTTAGTTTTTGTTGATTGACAGGTTTGTTGTTTTGCAAAGCATAATTTAATTTTGATAACCATCAAATGGAAACAGATTTTCTTTCTCAAAACTTTTATACAGTGAAAATAATCACAGCCTGACGGTAAAAGCATTTCTCATTAAGTTGTCTATATGTATCCACGAGTATAATGATTCAAGCTGGATGAAAGTCACTACAGCAGGCTACTTTTTTGTAGACTGCTAATCTGCATTGCAATGATCATAAATAACCTTTATTGGAACATAGTGGAATGAACACAATGACTGTCAGATAGTAACCAATATTCTACGATTCTCACTTCCATATTTATTCTCCAGATAAGACTCTGAACTATGGAAACTAATATGACTGATTTAGTGTTGTAGAGCATTGTATTTTTAACTTAATAACCAAAGGTAGTTACTGGAAATTTCACCATTTAGATTTTCTTCCCTGTTGTTAACCTTTATTGTTGACTGTTATAAATGAAGTAAACAGTAGGTCTTTTTGCCAAGATGGTGTTTTAAACCCAAATGAAACTTAACTCGTTGTCAAATTTGAAATAAAGTCCCCTTGATTATCAGTTACGTCATTTATAATTTCAGGTACGTGACTAAAAAGATTAGTTGGATTTCAGTCTAGCTTTTGTAAACTAGAACTCTTCCAGATGTCTTGTAACCAAATTTAGGCAATAATGTTTACGTTTCTCCAAATAAACTAGTTCAAGTGAATGTATGGTCTCTGTTTGCTCACAGGGCAATATTAAATCTCCTAGTAAAATACCGATTTTTCAATAGCACATTATTTTCATTGACAGTTGATTTCAGGTGGAAGAATTGAATGCGAATTAACAGTAAAGATTATCTGAACCGTGTAATGTATTTGCGCAACACATTTCGAACTGTCTGATCACACACGTACTTGTCATAGGTATTTATATAAAAACTCATGAAGATAAGGGGTGAGAAAATAAAAAGGGGTCAGGTAGGAAGGCTGACTTAAAGGCCGAATAACAATGAAAATCAATATAGCGAAAAAATAATAGTACATCGAACTTGGTTTTTCAATAGTTGAATTTACCAAGGAAGGTTTAATGTGACAACAAATTGTTTATGAATACATAAAGGTGGTTTCAACTTCCTAATAGCTAAGGCTTCAACAAATTTCAGGATCCCTCCCCAACATGTTTTGTAAATAGGTGTAAAGGAAGTAGCCACATCAATCTTGTGACCTGTCTCAACGATATGTTTAGCGATCGAAGAACTTGGACGTCTGCTACCAACATTTATAGGTTCAGGTGATTTAATTTGCTTCTGAAGCCACTTTGGAATATGTTCCGAGGCCCTTACTTGCATGGATCTATTAGTCCTCCCTATGTATGTGTCACCACACGTACATTTGAATTGGTAGATACAATGGGATGTGACATTATCGTTCACATGCTGTGGGGGTTTGGGGGAATATAAGGGCTTCGTGGTTTCGATTACTCGAACCCTGGCTGCATAGTAAGTCCTTCTAACAGCAGCGTTAAGTCTCTGCTTAAGGATTGCACTCTGAGAGTCACCTTTGTACGGAAGGCTGATGAAGACATCCTTCTTTGGGACTGACTGCAGTTCTAGTTTTGACGCTCTGCTGATTTTGTTCTGCCTGATAAATGTTGATGGATAGTTATTTTCCAACAAAATATCGGTCAGTGTTCCTCTTTCATCTTCTAAAGTATCCTCGGTGCATATTCGTTGAATTCTGCTGAATAGGCACCTTACTAACGTTCGCTTGTACTGAACTGGGCAAAAGCTATGGTAATTCAGATATTGCCCTGTCCATGTAGGTTTTCTGTAGATAGATCGTTTTATGGATCCATCCTGCCTTCGACTAATTAATATATCTAGGAACGGCAAGCAGTCATCTTCCTCTCTTACACATGTCAAAGATATGCTGTTCTGTACTTCGTTCAGTCGGTTTAGAATTGAAGTAGCCTGATTTGAGTTTTCACAAATAATCAGGATATCGTCAACATATCTTCGATACAGATGGGCTTGGTCTATTAAGTTCTCGGCTAAGTTCTCAACGTGTGACATAAATATGTCGGCTAGGAGGGGACCTAAAGGACTTCCCATAGCGACACCATCAACCTGGCGGAAATGTTCGCCCTCAAAGGTGAATTTAATATTGTTTGTACATAAAAGTAACAGCTGTTTTAGGTGATCCAAAGTAATGGGTATCGGAAACTTATGCACAGAAATATAATACATAAAATGTCAATTGTCTTGACCAAAGGGACATTGGTAAATAATGAGTTAACATCAAATGAACACATAAATTTACTCTTTATGTTGACATGCTCAAGGCATTTGATTACTTCAAATGTATCTTTTAAGGAATACTTACAAAATTGCTTCTTAATGGGATCCAATAACTCCACTAGCCACTGGGCAAGCTTATGCGTTGGCGACTTACACATTGACATTATGGGACGTAAGGGGTTTTATTTTCTCACCCCTTATCTTCATGAGTTTTTATATAAGTACCTATGACAAGTACGTGTGTGATCAGATAGTTCGAAATGTGTTGCGCAAATACATTACACGGTTCAGACAATTTATGTCTTCTTATTGTTTTGTCGAAGTTTATAAAGGGAACTAATTGTTTTAAAGTAAAGATTATGATAATCTGTGAGTCGCGTGCTTTTCTCATTCAAACATTCAGAAGATAACTTAGTAAATAACTTAAGATTGAAATTCGATTATCACTGAGATATCGTGAGTACTAGTTTGTGTATTAATGATTCCTAAAAGCTAAGTAAAACAAGTTCCAATCATATAGTACCTCAGCTATGCATAAGGTTCCATTTTACGTATCTGCACAGGTGTATACAGTGTGTATGATATTTTTGCTGTGCATTTATGTGTACGCGGAGGTCATTGAATGAGGAGTAAATATTTTTGTAAGTTAATTCAGTTAGCGACTGTTCATTACCTCAGTAAGTGATGCTTTCTCACCGCCTTCTAACATCAGAAATTATTCATCTGAAAATCTCACAGAAAAACTAAGGTGCTACTGTATTTTGGTTACCTGTGATCCATGAGGCAAAATTAACTGTACTCTTTGTCTGATCCTGTATTTTGTGTTGCACAAGATATGGGTCAGGGAATTCCAGTCAGAATTTCCAATCATAAGCAAGTTTCTTCAGGAATTGGATATAGCGAGTAAGTCATTCATCGTTCCTTGCTCTTTAAGTCTGGTAGAAGTCAGAACACTCCTTATACATGAGTTTCTGTGTATAAGTTGTGGTGATAAATGTCAATAATTCTAACATCCTACTACTTCCTCCTAACCATCCAACTAAATATACAACTCGAAAAGGTCAAATCACTTAACCTAGTAAATGCATCTCATAATTTATTTGTAGAATTGAAGTAGAATAAGACAGTGAACGATACAGCATCAAGTTAGTTAAGACACAGTTATTTCCGTCTCATCAGTCTAAATACTCAAGTATGCAGGTAGCTAGCTCAGAGACTCCTGGTTCGAATAACGCATACATTTGGAATTTAACTTATCTTTCCTAAGTCATGCAACTTCTTTTTCTAATTATTTAACCTAAATGTTATGCATCTTTTAGAATATTGGTGAAAACCACAATGAACTTTTTAAGCATTCTATCATCTAGGGAACGTTTCAACTTTGACAATTTACTTCACATGATCTATTCATCTTATATTTGGTGATTACGTGTACATAAAATGAAAATATAAAACATCCTAAATGTTTTCAGATGAAAAAAAAAAAGTGCAAATGTTTTTTTGATTTTTCAAAAGTTTACATCATATTATCTATTTCTTATCACAAAGGAATTCAAAGTAGAAAATCTAATCGATATAATGATGTCATAGCATAGAATATGATTACTACTCATATGAACTTACATGCTGGTTCATTGTCTTTTCTTCGATATGCATAGTGTTCAGTGGCTGAAACATAAAAATTTCAGGTAAAAAAAAATAAGTATGATTGTGTTTTGTTATTGTTCATGAAAAATAAACAAAAAGCAACTATATAAGTAGCTTTGAATATAATCCTAGTATATTTAGAAAATCAAAACAAGATTTTTCTGAACATTTTACTATGCATTCCACAGCTTCTTCAGCATCCCAATCAATTTTATTGAGAAAAAATTTCAACGAGAAGTCGTGACATAACATAATATATTTCAAAGAACTATCGACAATCATCATGTCAAACTATTAAGCCAGTCCAAACCTAAAGTGTCAAAGGAATCTCTGGAGATTTTCAGAGATCAATATAACTTTCTTGACATAGTTCAACAGTTCATTAATCTATTATAATGGTGGTAAAATTTTCCATATATTTGCAATCTGTGATGAGTCGTTCCTGTGTTAGGTGTGGATTCAATGAACAAAGATTCTGTGTCAATCTCTCCATCTATCCAGCCACATCATTATTTGTCACTTGGGTTACTAGTGCAACAAAGGGATTCAGTAGCGTCCCACCATTCCACTCTGTTCTCTGAAACCTGAAACTGACTACATTACTGCCCAGGAGATTTCATTTCTTCCTCACACCATCTCCTCCATGTCATCCTCGGCTCGAACATCCAACTCGTCGTTTCCCATTTGGGTTCGACTCGAAGACCTGGTCTGGAGCGTAATGTTCCCAGACGGTCTTCTCACACTATGTCCAATCCAATCAATATTCACTTTCTCCTGCATATTTGTTGGGTAATGGATTCTTGGTTGGTTCGTTGCCAGCCAGCCAGCAGCCAGCCAGCCAGCCAGCCAGCCAGCCAGCCAGCCAGCCAGCCAGCCAGCCAGCCAGCCAGCCAGCCAGCCAGCCAGCCAGCCAGCCAGCCAGCCAGCCAGCCAGCCAGTCAGCCAGCCACACTTCCTCCTTGCTCATCCTTACCACCCTGGTCATCTGATCTTCAGTATCGAGTGAGCCTAGGTGGCAGTTGTGGATGATGTATGTCTGTAGATTGTTAGAAATGCTTCTCGCGACGCGCCAAGTCTCTCAATCATCACATGGAAGCACTAACTTACTTGACTGACTTAATCTTGAAAATCGAGATGTTGTTCACGCTTCATGCTGAATAGAGTAGAGTAGAGTAGAGTAGAGTAGAGTGGAGTGGAGTGGAGTGGAGTGGAGTGGAGTGGAGTGGAGTGGAGTGGAGTGGAGTGGAGTGGAGTAGATCTCCACACTGATTAGTTCAGAGTAATGAAGGCCTGTCTTGCGATCTTTCCGATCCTGGCTTTCACATTCTCATCTGTGTCGCCGCCTGTCGTTGAAACCAGGCTGTTCCACCTAGGTAGGTCAACGAGACTACTTCCTTTAGATTTCTCCTCTTCATGGTGGTTGGCTCCTGTTTCTACTGTTGTTGTCGTTGTGGTTGGTTATCCTCATCACCTCCGTCTTCTCTATATTCACTTGAAGTCCCATCTTCACCGCCTCTTCTGTCAACTTGTTGGCTTTTGCATGTCGGTATTCGAGTTTGTGCGACAAGACATTGGACATAAATCATCATCGGTGAAATCCAAATATTCTAGAGTCATCTCCTCGTCGGTCGAGCCAGCATATGCCAATCATCTCACTCCTCGCATTTGTCTGTTGCATGATCCACTCCACTCCAGTCAAGTCCAGTCAACCACAATCAGGAAGATCATCGGTGATGATAGTAGGTGGCAACCTTGTCTTACTCCTGTCCACTGTCTTCACTTCAAAGACATCACTGAACTTTCCATTGTGGATCACTTGGCATGTGGTATCATATATAGCATGTAGCTGTTGAATGAGGTTGATAGAGGTTTGTGGCAGTAAAACCGTAGTGTTGAAGCAGTTGCCAGATACCTTTCAGTCGAGACTGTTGAAGGCCTTTTCAAAGTTGATGAAGTTGAGGTAGAGAGTTGACTTCCATTCTCTGGTGTGTTCTATGATGATGCGTGGCCTAGTTGACAGTTTGGAGTCCACTTCCGGTTTCCCAGATTCCTAGCCTAGCACTACTATACTATACCTTCTCATCTCTTTCGCAGTCTGGTCAGTCTTTCCAGCCAGCTTCAGACATTGTTGACGTTTCGTGTCCCTATACTTACGTTTTATTTCATCGATAGAAGAGAAGGTATATCGGCAGATTGGCTTCCTGAATGCTTTCACTGATCGGTGTCATTTCGTTTCCCTGATTCCAGTGAGGAACAAGTTTATTTTTTTATATATTTTCCTTGTTCTTTGAGGCTTCTTTAGCGATTGGACTGGCTTTAGTGGGTAGGATTCCTAGCCCTATGCCCAACCTTCCCTGTTTATCCGGGCTTAGGACCGGCTGCTAACTAGCGAACTAGTCAACCAGGCTAGGTTGTTCTAAAAAATACTCACCGCAAAAATATGAGTTATGCATATAAAACAAGTTGGTGTAAATAGCTTCTTTACAATAGCAAGGCTATTGTACACCTATTGATGTAATTCGAAAATTATCATAGCAAACCCCATAATCTGTGTTCTAGCGGTGAAAGAAATTGCACAATTGGGGGAAAACACTTACTGCTGAAATGCTTATCTCTAGGGGTTGATTTTTAAATTATCTCATCGTTTGGTTTTCGTCTTATAAAGTTAAATCTTAAGAATATTAACTTAAAAACAGTCATACTAGATACCCTGGCGATAATTTACTGGGAATACACTTTAGCTATGGTATAGTAAGCTTAGTTTATTTTACCTTGAAAGAAAAACTTTGCACACAGTCTAGTGAGCTATATGCAATTGCTAATTTCAGTATCTTTCTTATAATGTTGTGTTTGTTAGAATATACAGTGCTTTTGTATAATTTCCAGTATGCATATAAACTGAACCCGTTTGGTTTATGTTTCAGAGATGATCAGTACTTTTTCCATAGATTTTCTCACTTACTTTGGTATCCCATATCTCCCTTTTAATAGCAGGTTAACTATGGAGAGAATTTACACCAGAGAGAGAGAGAAACTTACTACAAGGGTCTTATAGAATTTTCATGGTCAGCAATGAAAGGAATCAAGATGTTCATTACATTCTTTCCATGTCTCTTTAGTATACTCTATCTAAATATCAGTTGGTGGTCTTGTTCACAACGATTCTCAAGAGCAAGACTTTACTACTTGGAACGTCAGTATGTCCCTGAATGAAATACTTTATTATAACCACCATCTTTTCTATGAAAGCATTAATAAAGCTTATGTGCTTTCTGAATTAAATTTCTATTATCAGTGAACACCTCTAATCTGTCTTATTCCTAAAGTCCATATTTCTCAAAAAGACATAACAATTAGTTAGCTAGCTTCTTTGTAGGTGAAACAGTCCAGACATCTTTATAAAATTTGATAAGCTGCATGAAAATGGAATTAAGAAAACACGATGATATTATTACTATCAGCAGAAATGTTGTAGCGAATAACCGTTTTGCGTCGAAGTACCATAGACAACAATGATTATATATATTTTGTGACACCGATCAATTCTTCGCTGATAATCTTCAAAATATGATACAGACTTCTTTTGCTTTTCGATCTATAGAAGCGACTATCGTACTAGTAAACTTATCATCTTCCTCAGGAGAACGTGTGAGGAAGAAATAAAAGCTTGTGGGCAGTCGTGGAGTCAGGTTCAAAAGACTGCAGAGAAGAGAGTAAAATGGCGGCGTGCTACTCAAGCCCTATATCCCACTAGGAACCTAAGGGACAAATAATCATCTTGAGAACCCGCTGAAGTTTTAACAATCTGCATGTCTATAATATAAATTTCTAATATTCAAATGAACAGATATCCTAGACAGATCTTCATTTCTGCCATATCAAACAACTGAGGATAGCATTGATAGTTGAATTAACAACATCATATGAAACCTAAAACCGAATGAATCTTAAAAATACTATAGAAGAATGAGTTTTTATTGTGAAATCTATTTCTGAAATGAACTCTCAATCTAATTACTTGGAATTTTAATAAAATAAGCATGTTTCTTTCCGTCTATACTAATTACTTCCAAATGTGGACCCATACAAATACTCTTTTACACATCTATTCACTGAGGGTATCTAGTAATCACATACATAACCTGCTATAGGTGGTAAATTAGTGGAAGCTTACACTAACTGTTTTTATTATAAACTGATACCTACAATGAGTAATTTGATTTCTTTTAAGTTATTTTAACGAACATTTGACATATCCAAGCTCAGAAAATATACCAAAACCAGAGGCAAATATATTGATTACTCCTCGAATTAACATTGACTGTAGGCACATTCATAATTCACAACTAATTATGAGTTAACCTTAAACTTCATATGACAATAAGTAAGGCTGGGTGAAATTCACCTCAGTCTAGTGGTAAGTCAAGTAGCCATCTTTCTTGGAAAGACCATCTGATTATTGTCAGAATATATCGAAAAAGACAAAAAACTTGAAGTATAAATTTAGTTATTTGTTTGAATTTGAATGTTCCCCCAAAAAGTAACGAGAATATGATCCGAATTTTCCAAGTGGAATAAACAGAAAACGGCTCGTTAACTCCAGACTTCATCACATATCCTTATCTTCATATATCTTTAGTGAAAACATTTAAAACACTAAACAGGTGTCAGTGTCTCACTGTAATGTATATCTCTTCAAAAAAATTCACTCATAACTTTACCAACTATGATCACCTGCAACGGGTAATTCATACCCTACAAGTCAGCAATCTCAGTGTAAACCTTTACGGTCATGAGGAAGATCATATATCCCCCCCCGCATAGTGTGTGAGTACACCCAAATACTTTATCTTATCTATTTATAAATATATCAATTAGCAAGATGATAAAAGTTCAGTCCTAACTAGAATATTTGTGAATCGTAGAACGAGCATTAAAAAAATTATGTAACCGAAAACAAGATTATGTAACCGATAAACTAGATGACATCATACATTCATTCCTAACTAAATCTTGACGAT